ATGTGTTCGATTTTGACGTTCTGGTACTATGGTATTTTAGGTATTTTTTGTTTAGGCCGCTACCATACTAAGAGCGAAGAGGCACGCGAATCGTGAAATCGAATGTAAGGAATAATATCAATAATAGGAACTCTTTTGTATAGAACGCTAAGCACGCCTCTTCGCTCCTACTATGGCAGCGGCCTTATAGTCCTATGCTGAATCAATTGTAAAATTAGCAGGTTGCTTAGATGTTCCATGAACATGGTAAAAATTGGGATGATTCTAAGGCTGTAACGCTGTAGTTTTCATGCAAATCAGCTAGACTAGATCATTAACAAGTATCAAAAATTTATTATGAAGGCTAGTTTGATACATTTTTCAAAAGTATAACGAGAAGATGAATTGAATTGGTAAATACTACAATTTATGAACAATCATATTCATATATTATTAAAACGATTGATATTATTATAACGATTGATAAAAACTCAGTGTCCTCCTTTAATGTTAATAATGGGAATCATTGTCCTCCTTAATCTCCAAGCTTCAAATGAAATGTCCTCTTTTTCAAGTTTTTGATATGGTAACCCTAATTTCCCCCAACGCAAATAACAGCATGTTTCATTCAAAATCTTGCCAATTTCCATCGGTAATTGTCTTATTGTACGATTTTCCACAAATCTGAACTGATTTGCACCTTAACTATTCACACACAAGAAATCCGGAAGATCATAACCACTAAGGCACTTTTCTAATTTTCAATTTTTCTCAACAAAAATATTCCTGAACACCAGCAGGATATTTTCAAAAACGTTACAGAATTAAATTTTTCAACTGTAGATTAAGTTTTGCAGCATCTCAGATGAATCAAGTTATCAGGAAAAGTAAAAAAGTGTTCCGCTTCCTATGTCTCAAGGCAAAAATTTATGCTCACAACACTCTTTTTGACGTTCTCCTATTCACCACCAGAGGTTGAATCGATCGTTTAGTTTCTATTAAAAAGGCCTATGGTGATACAGCTTTGTCACTATATAGGCGAGGAGGTCGCGGGGGGGAAAAGTGCGGTTTTAGAGCAAATTGTAAACAAACTCGGTCGCTGTCCCATACAAAAATCCAACATGGCTGAATCATGAATTTGACACATTAGAACACCTATATGTAGTCACCTTGGTTGTAACTATAGATACTATAGATTTGCTTTGCACTTCATTTTGAACTTTTACGCACGAAACAAAACAAAACTGCACAACGAATAGACGAGTGCATGGATGGATTTAAGTTCACTCACTCGACAAAAAGTGACACAACAGCGGGGCCCTGTTTACTAAAAATTAACACATGTGTTCATTTTTAGTAAACAGGACCCCGCTGTTGTGTCACTTTTTGTCGAGTGAGTGAACTTAAATCCATCCGTGCACTCGTCTATAGCTCTATAGACGAGTGCACGGGTGAACTTTTGTTCATCTACTGAAAAAAAATTGACACAACAGCGGGGCCCTGTTTACTAAAAATAAACACATGAATAATGCTCGTGTAACATTTGAAAAGGGCCTATCAACTTTTGTAAATAATTTGCTAGGTCCTTTTCACGAGAACCGAAGTGCGCTCACGCAAATCAAGAGCACTATCGGGAAGGGGAGAATTTCCCCTACCCGACAGTGTTGTTAGTTTGCGTGGGAGTATTCGGTTCGCGCGAAAAAGGCTTAACAAGTTTTGTGTACAAAAGTTGATAGACCCGTTTCAAATGTTACGTGAGTATTATTCATGTGTTCATTTTTAGTAAACAGGGCCCCGCTGTTGTGTCACTTTTTGTCGAGTGAGTGAACTCAAATCCATCCCTGCACTCGTCTATGATGGCATGAACTTTTTTCACGGATGCCAGTATGATCATTTATTTTTTATGGTTGCCAAAACAAGTTTTTGTGCCTCCGCTTATCTATCGAATCTATAGTATCTATAGTTGTAACTACCCATAAATGGGTAAAATTTTACTCATTTAATGGGTAAATAGTCACAGTTTCCCTCGAAACAGCTTACTTTGTAGTAATTATTTGGTATTTTGCGGTTACCGTGTAGATGAATGTGAAACGTCATTTCAAATATAAGGATTAAGGTGATTCCCTGTAGCGTCCTTTTTCATGTTGAAACATAGTTGAAACTACTACCAAAGACGAATACTGAGATGAAACAGTCGGAAGAAAAACTTTCTATTTTAGTGTCCTCTTTCACGGTCCCTTTCATCCAATGAATATCCCCCGTATGCAAGGTAATTTTGTGGTTTTTCTTCCCCCTCGGTGCACGGTAAGAAAAAAGTGCCCAAAATTAAGTTACTTTCACTCAACACGTGGCTTCAGTGGGGCTACTGTGTTACCTGACTTATAACGAATATACGTTGTATACGAGTACCCCGAATACAACGTATGATAGCATTTGCAATGTAAAATTAGACGAACTATACGTTGTATTCGGGGTACTCGTATACAACGTATATTCGTTATAAGTCAGGTAACACAGTAGGTAAAATTAAATTAAACAAGAAAACTCAATTTTGAGTAATCCTGATGAAGAATCCATTGAGTAAAAAATACCTAACGGTCAATCACATGGAATAGGTGAAAAATACCCAACGTTCCAGCATGCAACCGGTTTTCGTTGCAACTTTTTTTGTCACTACCCCCTATGGATACCACACAAACGATATCATAGATGGCACGACGATACCGCATAGAGTTGGGATGATATCCTGAATTGGTGGTTAGGCGTTTCTTATGTTTATGCGGGATATGTACCAAACACTAACAAAGACTAATGCGAGGACTAATTGAGCAGGAACGAAGGCGATGGAGCACGAACAAATGACAGCGGCAGGTTGCTATGATTTTGATCCAAAATTAAGTTAAAAGTACCCAACGGTGAAAACAAAACGGTTGAGTACTATTAACTGAAAATTGAGTTCTTTCTTACTTTGAATCGCAGCGTGTTTTAGTTAAACGGAATGTATCGAGAAATATTTCAGGATATTATTCGTAAATTACTATACGCAATACAATTTACTAACATGTACATTTTAAACAACTACGGAAAGTACTAATTCAATCAATAATGAAAAATACTACGTTTTGAGCTAAACGATGATTAACAGAAAATTAACTTAAATTTGAGTTCATATATTATTACTCAATAGATGACCTCAAATGATAGAACCCAACGGTGAGTTTTTTTAAACTTAATTGTGAGTATTTTTTTCTTACCGTGTAGAGATGAAATTTTGCGCTCATTTAGATCAAAACAATCACACCAAAATCAGAGATGTCCCATTTTTTAATTACTCGATTAACAACTAATCGATTATTTTTTGTTCGCTGTGCTGTCATGTTTCCACCAATGAGAGTGCAGCACATGTTTGAAACGATCGGTGATGATTCTCTGGAGATGTTAATGCTTATATCGGAACGTTTGGAACCAGTTACATACAAGAATGATCAGTAGGCTGATTTGACAGCACGTCCCCCCCAGGATATAACCGATTACAAAAATTTTACTTTTCGGTTCGTTAATCGATTAATCGATTATTCGAATGAAAATCGGCCATCACTACACTGAACCAAAACATCCGCAATACTTCGAATGATTATTGCATTGCTCGAGCCCTTTAACAATATGCATTCGAAATTCGGATGATTTTCCTATGGTTGAATTCGTCGTCAGATGATGAACATCCATATGATTGTCATCCAAATACAGGATGATTTTCGTTTGAAAATTGGCTATAAAACATACGGCACTCAGAGGGCAAACAGTTAAGAATAAAGTGACATGCAACAAGAGCTTTTAATTAGATTTATAATTTGATTATATAAATTTCCATACTCAATAGCTATTATGGATACAAAAATTCTTCGATGGTAGAGGAAACTTCCTCCACCACGAATTAGCCAGACATTGGTTTTCACGGTTTACCTATGTTTGTAACAGCTCTGACAGCGATGGCTATGCTTCCACCTCGTTTGTCAGCTCAGATCAGCAAATGACGTTCGATAGAATTATTTACATCATCGTTTTGAATGATTTGCGTTATGGGGCTGAACCAATACCATATGCATTTCCATTTAGTATGACAATCATTCTGCAGAGAGCATTACGCATTTCAACTGAAGGCCCTATCCCTTCTCATAACAATTTTCATCCTGCAGTCGAGAGGAGAATCATCTGATTTCAAAACAATCGTTATCCGGTTGCAGCTATCATTCGAAAAAGCGGTTTTGATGTTTCGTTTTGAATGGTCTGAGGTTTCACTCGATCAGAGGATGGTGTTTATGTACAATTTAGATGAATGTGAAACGTCATTTCAAATATAAGAACCGTTCAAAAATAATGATACAATTTGAAAGGGACCGGGACTAATCACAAATTACGTCCCCACGGTAACTGAAATAAACACGAGTGTTCACCGGTTGGAAACACCTTAAGGGCCTTTCTTAAATAATGAGATAATTTGAAAGGGACCGTCAAATTACGTCACCACAACTGAAAAAAAAAAATGAGTGCTGAACGGTTAGCTTTAGTGGTCTATTTGGGTCATGTTAACACAAATTTTCACAAGTGGATTTTCAGTACATTACAAATACATTTCAGTTATCAAAGTTCTAGCATAGAGGCAACTCTAAGACCAGAAGGTCCCGAAGAAGCGTGCTCAACTTTTTGGATCAGCTCTGGTACTATCTTTGGTTCACCCCTCGAAACATGGGAAAATCCACGAACCCTTCATTTTATCAGTCAAAAGCGGATAAAAAAAACATTGTGTAGTACTAGAATTTCGTCTAGAATGGGGTACGTTAATCGATTTGCTTGGGACCAATTGGTTAGTCAAGTAGTGAGCCAATTTCAAATTGATAGTTTCGTATTGATTGTTGGTTCTAGTGTAATTGAGAAAACATAAAATGCTGTTGTTTTCGTCTCTCAAATGTAAGACTCAAGAATGCGTGGTTAGTGGATTAAATATGTTCTATAAATTACATTTAATATATTACGTAGCTGTGAACTTTTATTCGTTTTAATACATTTAATTGACAATACTTTTTTGCTACAAATACACATGATTAACCACTTAAATATGTTCTATATATGTTTCATCTTTCATGCATTTAATCACAGATTCACTTATAAATTTACTTTGCTTGAATTAAATTCAAGCCGACATGCATGCTGACTCTCATTCTCACAATCGTACCTAATTTCTAATTTTCTTTGTGAATTATCTCCGTGCCCCAATCGTTTCGCTACGCACAACAACGTGACTAATGCCTTGTTCAGACTACAGAGTTATAACATGTTACAATAGTTATCGACAAGAAAAATGTCATCAAGATACTAGGCTCATAACATGTTATAACTGCTCAGTCTGGCCAGTGTTTAACCGCATCGGCTGGGGGATTCCTGGTTTCCAACCGAAAATAAAATCCTAATATTTCTCCGTAATGGTATAACCACGATTGTCAGTTCCGTAGACCATCGAAATGCCGTCACTGGATTTTCCCTGATTCAGGTTGATGGTGGAATTGGTCGGTAGGATGGTTTTAGGATTGATGCAGCGCGCATAGACGAAGCTCCGGAACTTGTACATGAAGAACATCAGCACGTGGATGATCACGGCCAGTACGATCGTTCCCACGACGGTGACCATTGCTTTGCCGGGTGAGCGCCAATCCAGCACGTTGTAGATGTATGGGCGGTCATTCCTATGAATGCAAACAAAAAAAAAGAGAAGGGATCAGTTCCAGGCTGACAATGAATCTTCTTGCCAGGCAAGTTGGTGATAATATTTTGGCATGAACTTGAGAAATTATGTAGTTGACAAAAACTTGTTTTCTAGGTCAGTGAAAGGAAACTTGATTTGTACATTCTCGTCTTGCCAAAGTGCTGTTTCAATTATTTGTTAAATTTAATGGCACGGTCGTTCTGGTTTCAAGTATCTGTACCCATAGTTAAAGGTGTTCAGAACAGCACAAAGAAAGTCAAGGTTATTTTACAACATTCGATTTGTTTTCCTGTTCAATCCGGTGCATACAAAATCAGCTGTTTGAAAAAGAAATCGAAACGTAGAATGATCTAGTGGTGAATTTTATGCAACTTCCTATGAACTACTAAGAGGTACCTAATTGCGCTTTATCGTTTCAAGGAAAATGAAAATAAGTAGACCAATGCACTCTTTTGCTTGCGGGTCGTTTCTATGCGTCTTGAGCTGAGCGACTAGCTTTAGGATACCATCGAACTGGTTCGGCCTGGCCTAGTTGCATGAATGTATACATATATACTGTTTCTACTGACATACGGGTGCAATTGCATTTGATATTTGCATCTACAGTGATGCAGGCGCTCTGTGTGAAAATTTCACCATTATACATTGAATCATTATTTCCAGAATGTACCATCGGACATTGTTCAAGAACCAGTATTTTTTCCCATTAAATATTGGAAAAGGAGAACGGAAGTAAAAAAATCAGTTTATATTTAAAAATTGATTTGTATCATGGCAAAAATGTGGACCCGAAAAACCGAAAAAATCTACTTTTTGGTTTTGTCTACACACTCAATCTAGTCTAGTAAAATCTTCAAGAGCCTACTTCCTCGGCATTTACTTTTGCTGATATATCTTTAAAATATCTTGAAGTAATTAAATTGGGTTTTTATTGGGTGCGGAATGCTTAAATAAAACAGCAAAAAAGGGCTATCTTCCTGAAGATAACCATTTTTGCTGTTTTATTTAAAATATCTGTTTGTTAGCTGAGTCTCAGTAAAATAAATTGCAGATCTACTAGGCTGTTGAAATGTCGGCAAATAAATTTAAGTGTGTAGAGTCCAACTTTTTTTCCAAAAAAATTTCATGTAAATTTAGTCATAGATTTTTGATAACTTTTTCCAAAACATTTAAAAATTTGAAAAAGTGCCAGAAGCGGTTTTTTGGATGTGAGCTTTCCTTTAAGTTTATGTTGGAATTGGATGGAACCAGATTTCCTACACAGATAAAACAAATTTCAACAACTAATATAAAATTGTCTTTTTAAATATGCAAAATATGACTCAACTTTTACACTTTTTAATTCGCATCGCATTCGTATTAAGTTAGTTGCACTCATTTGTATTTAGGTGGTAAAAGTCCAAAGACCATTGTTTGGAAGTATTGCCACCACGGTCCGTTACCGTATTTAATAGAGATTTGGGATTGATCTCGGCCTCTTAGATGAAAGTAGCCCTATCTCCAAGAATCTGGAGAGAACTGTCCTGACAAAGTCCTTGCAGCTGCTGAGGATGGGAAGGATTGACAATTGGAAACTTACTTAAGAGCAGTGTCTGTTTTTATCATTTACCATCACATGCAAGGAGTATCGCTTTAACCCAGTGTCGATGAATTGCGTTTGTTTTGAACATCTTCGTAGTTACGAAACGAGCGAAATGAACAAATGAGTTTATTATACATCAACGAATACGCGTTTGTTGATATTCACCAGTGCTCGATTATCAAACCCAAAATTGTCAAAATCAGAAGTGATCCTCAAAAGCAAAATAATCAACGACATTTTGGGCAAAATGATTATTTTGAATATTGTCGACCACACTGCCTAAATCATCGATATTATCATCAGTTCAGCTTGAGGCAATAATTTGCCGTCGACTTATGTCTAAAAACCACGTTCTTCAGCGCTATATTTGTTTAAAATGAAAATAATCATTTTGCATTTGATCCTCAATATCATCCCGACCAAGATGAAGACGAATATCAATATTTACAACAACAGAGGCGATAATGAGAATCCAGCCACGAATGAAGAAAAACAAATGTTATTTTTGATACTCAGAGGTTGCCTAGATCAAGGGAATTTGTTTATATCAAAATTCAAATTCATGCAGGTAGTTGGTCTATCTGTTAAGGTTTTCTTCATTTTCAGCTAAATTGAGTGTAGAAGAAAGGATTTTTATCAGCACTGCTTAAGAGATATGCAGAGAACTCTACGACGTCTCATAAGTGTCACAGGAGTTTGGAGATTTCTAAAGTGGGTAGAATAAGGCATTGTGCTACCGAGCCTGTCAACTCAACATTTACACTTTTTAATAAGAACTGTTCACTTTATAAAACGGACACCGTCTAACCATTCAGGCTGATGTCCTCTGCTGTCCGAAGAAGTCGTCTCCACTCTACTCGATCCATTTTCGCTGGGTTGTCGTCCAGCATTATTACGACGTGCTCAGCCACCGTAGCCGCCCAATTTTTGCAATGTGGACGATGGATGGTTCTCCCAGCAGCTGGTCCAATCCGTGGTTCATTGGCCTCCTTCACGTTCCGTCTTCCATCTGCACTCCACCGTAAATTGTCCGCAATACTTTCCATTCAAAAACAACACGAGCATAGTCCAGGTCTCGTGGCCGTAGAAAACCACCGAGCTAATCAGCGTCCTGTAGATAATAAACTTTGTGCGGTGGCGAATTTTATTCGACCGGGCGTACAAAGTAGGCCCGATTCCCTGCCATAATGCGTCTTTGAATTTCTCTACTGGTATAATTTTCTGTGGTCACGAACTCGTCAGGGTGGGAGGTTAACATTCAATGACATTTATATAAGGTCTGGGCCAACAGGCAGCTTGCTGGTGTTAGAAGCAAAAATGTTGTAAACATTGCTGAACATCTCCGAACAGATAGAAATACGTCACTGCCATCATACTGAGAACAGATAGAAATACGTCACTGCCAACAGCTGATTCGTGTAAAAAGATAAACATTGCAATACAATACGAACACCACTAAACATTTGCACATTTCACTAACACCAATAAGCCCTTTGGCCCAGACCTTATATAAACGTAATTGGTTAACATTGTCTTTCCTAGAACCTCTTCCTCTCATGTCACTATTATCTGCTTGACCGTCAAGCAGTACAGTTCGGTTTCTACTTGCTCTCTCGAGTTGTTGGCTACGTTCGTTTCGATACTGATCGTTCTCCTTTTTCGCCGATTTTGGTAAAGCATCGCCCGACCCCAGCATGTTGACGCGACTGCTATTCCGGTCGGGAAAGGATCCCGAACGGACACCGCCATCACACAATTGGCATCGAAGAAGCTATTGGCCAACAATCGTTACGCCATCCTGGAAAACGGCGATGAACCGAAGGTGGAAAAGAAGGAGAAAGTTCCACCATTCTTTTTAAAAGGATTCCAGGAAGGCTTGCGGGAGAAATTCGACTTTTACATTGGTAAAGGTCTCAAGTGCACCATGCGCTGATGGTTCCCAGCGATGAACCACTACAAGGCCGTTGAGGCGTTGCTGAAACAGAAAAACTTATTTCTACACGGCCAATCATACCAGCTCAGCGACTGAGAATAATTAACTCAGAGAATTTTCTTTCCAAACGAAATTTACTCAAATTTGGAAGAAACTACAGTTACTCATAAGCTATGAGTAGCTGCAGTTTCTTCCAAATCTGAGTAAATTTCGTATGGAAAGAAAATTATTCTCAGTCGTGGAGTTGCTATGATTGGCCGTGTAGTATTTCTCCCACGATATTGAGGCGACCAAGCCGGTGGTATCATAGAGGTAACTCTAAGACCACTGGGTCCCGAAGAAAATCTTTATTATTTTTGGCTCACTCAGTACCAGAACAACGGTCCCAAGCAGTCCCAAGCTATTTCACTCACCCCTGCATGTTCTGCATGAATCCACACACCCCTGATGATATCTGTCAAACTTTCATAGCGAATCAAAACAAACATAGTGTAGTAATAGAATTTCAACTAGAATAGGGTACGTTAATCGTTTGCTTGGGACCAATAGGCTACTAAAGTGGTGAGCCAATTAAAAATCGTTAGTTTCGTATTGATTGTTGGTGGTATTGCGCGGCTTTCCTGACTTCCTGACATGAAAACAGTCACACTGTCAGATGAATTGAAGCAACATGGACTCAAGCCGATCCAAATCTTCAAGATGAATCTTCATGACGCTTCACGTAAGTACCGTGACCAGCTGTATCTGGTCCATATGGAAAGGAATTCAACATGCTTGAAGGAACCCAGAGCATTCGAGCCTCTTTCCACGTGGTGGTGATTTGGGAACAGTGCATGCCAGTCTAATGCGTGGCTTTCCGCTGCAAAAATTGTGGCAAGCAACACGCACCTGATGCCTGCGAATTATTGAAGGAAGAAGACCCCAAATGTGCCAATTGTTATGTATGGTTGTCCGAAGAGAGCGGCATTCATTGCTATCCGCAATAAAGCCCCTACGAAGCATCAACATAGCCGCAGAAGAGTGCCAGAAAATAACGGGCAGAACTTTCCTGCTATCCTACAACAGCGCCAATTTCCGGTGCTTCCACCACTTCCACTCAACAACCGTTTTGCTGGTGCTACATCGGTTCTGCCATCAGCTGGGGTGCATAACACTCCGGTAAACTCAAGTCGTCACCCATGTGTGGCAGCATCCCAAAGCACGTCTCCACCTCCGTGGCTATCGTGACAGTATTTAGGTGCTCCCCCTTCACCAGCGATCGATCGAGAAGGCAGACACTCTGCCTGCTTACATTGGCGGAACTTGTTGCACTCGTGACAGAAGTCATCATGATCCAGCGCACGGGAGGACCTGAATAGAACAGCTTCATCAATAAGTATGGATGGTGGAGCCATCAAAATTGCCAATTGGAACAGTTGCTCGCTCATGAGCAAGAGCATTGAGTTCGTTGAATTCCTTAATGAAC